GCAGGATGTGGATATGCAAGGACCAGTGCAGCAAGTCTATGATGACGAAACACAGATGCCAACTACTGTGGCTTTCTGCAGTGTGCAGACCGGCAAGGAGGGCAGGGTTGAGGAGTGGGTGGAAGATGATGTGGAGGATGATGAGGTCCTAGACCCCACATGGAATGAAGGTCATGCGAGTGACGTGTGCAGTTTGGAGGAAGAGTCAGTGGTCGCACAGAGGCACCAGCACAGCATAAGAGGGAGCAGGGTGCAAAAGCAGAGCGGCCGTCCCCTAAATGGTACGCCTGCTACTGCCCACTGCACCCAGGGACCGAGCACACCAAAGCCAGCTCCAAGGAGTTCCCTGGCATGGCAGTTCTTCAGACAATGTGCCAACGACAAGACACGAGTGGTTTGCACACTGTGCAATCAGAGCCTGAAGTGAGGCATAAACGTGCTAAACTACATGCAAAGCACGAGCTGCAGTGGAGTAAGCACCTCAAAAACCAAGAAAGGTCTCAGGTTGCTGCTGTCTCAGCCTCTTTCTCTACCTCTGGAGTCGGAGTGGCACCTGCCACCCTGCAAACAGAATGGGGCAGCAACGTCACCACATCCGCCACCGTCCCCAAGCATCTCCACACTGTTGCATGGAAACGTTCAGCTGTCCTTCTCCCAAACACTGGAGAGAAAGAGAAAGTACCCCCCTAGCCACCCGCGATCCCTGGCCCTGAATGCCAGCATTTCGAAATTTGTGGCCTTTCAAATGCTGTCATTCCGTCTGGTGGAGACGGACCATTTTAAAAACCTGATGGCGGTGGCTGTCCCACAGTACGTGGTTCCCAGGGACGTATCTCCCTAACTGCACAAATGTAGTGGCGGCTGGGCCTGAGGCGAATAGCAGTTTGGTGCATGTCCTTCCTCCACCGAGGATTGCAGGGCATTTCTCTTTGCCTCCTGTTGCCTCCTCCTCCGGTCAGTGTAACACCTTCAGCACAGCCTGGTGGAAACTTCAGCAGGCTGTTTTAAAACTCATATGTTTGGGGGAAAAACCCTACAACGCGCAGGAGCTGTGGATGGGCATGGAACAACAGACCAATGAGTGGTTGTTGCCATTGAACCTCAAGACCGGCCTGCTGGTGTGTGATAATGGGCGAAATCTCGTAGCAGAACTGGGCCTAGCCGGTTTGACGCACATCCATTGCCTGGCGCATGTGCTGAATTTGGTGGTGCAGAAATTCCTGAAAAACTACCCAGATATATCAGAGCTGCTGCAGAAAGTGTGGGCCGTCTGTGCGTGCTTTTTAGCATTCTCACCCTGCTGCTGCTCGCCTGTCTGCGCTGCAGCGTAACTTCAGCCTTCCCGCTCACCGCCTCATATGCAACGTGCCCACAAGGTGGAACTGCACCTTGCACATGCTGGAGAGACTGTGTGAGCAGCAGCAGGCGATAGTGGAGTTTCAACTGCAGCATGCACGGGTCAGTCGCTCTGCGGAACAGCACCACTTCACCACCAATGAGTGGGCCTCCATGCGAGACCTGTGCCATTTTGCACTGTTTCGAGTACTCCACCAACATGGCCAGTGCCGATGACTCCGTTCTCATCCTTACTATCCCGCTTCTATGTCTCCTTTAAAAAATTCTTTGGGCGATGATGGAAGAGGATGTGGCACAGGAGGAAGAGGGGTCATTTCCACGGTTATCAGGCCAGTCATTCACAAGTGGCTTGGAGGGTGGGTTCCTGCACCAGCATAGGCCAGGTACACAATTGTCCAGCCAGGGCACAGTTCTGGAGGATGAGGAGGAGGATGATGAGGATGAGGAACAGTGTTCACAGCAGGGTGGCACCCAACGCAGCTTGTGGGCATCACTGCAGCATGGCTGGGGGGATACGGAGGACACAGACCATACACCTCCCACAGAGGACAGCTTGTCCTTGCCTCTGGGCAGCCTGGCACACATGAGTGACTACATGCTGCAGTGCCTGTGCAACGACTGCTGAGTTGCCCACATTCTAACTTGTGCTGATTACTGGGTGGCCATCCTGCTGGATCCCCATTACAAGGACAACATGGCATCCTTTATTCCCTCAATGGAGCATGATCGGAAGATGCGCGACTACAAGCTCACGCTGGTAGACGCACTTCTGAGGGCATTCCCAGCGGACACCGGGGGTTCAGTGGAAGCACAAGGCGAAGGCAGAGGAAGAGGTCACCAACACAACTGGGGCACCGCCAGCACCTCAGAAGGCAGGGTTAGCATGGCCGAAATGTGGAAAAGCTTTGTCAGCATGCCACAACAACCAGCACCACCATCTGATTTGGAACGTCTTAGTAGGAGGCAGCATTTCAGCAACATAGTGGAACAGTACGTGTGCACACGCCTACACGTACTGACTGATGGGTCTGCCCCATTCAACTTCTGGATCTCCAAATTGGACACATGGCCTGAGCTTGCCCTTTATGCCTTGGAGGTGCTGGCCTGCCCTGCAGGCAGTGTATTGTCTGAATGTGTGTTTAGCACGGCAGGGGGCGTTATCACAGACAAGTGCAACCGCCTGTCCACAGCCAACGTGGACAAGCTCACATTTATTAAAATGAAACAGGCATGGATCCCACTAGACTTGTCTGTACCTTGTGCAGAATAGACATTTATACCAGCCTCACCCAGCCATTGTTATACTCAAGTGCACTTCGTTTTCTTTTTTTAAATGTCCCAATATTTGGGGGGCTACCGCAATTAAATAAAATAAAACAAACAAATAAAATCAGTGTTGGCTACCTTCTCCTCCACCGCCGCTTCCACCTACACCGCCACGGTCACTGCCTCCACAACCTATGGGTCACTTAGTATAAACTATGTACACAATATCAGAGGGGTGTGAATGCCTTTTCTCCATGCATCAGGAGTTGAGCTCAGTTTGAACAAAGAAAGAATACCCTGCACTCCAACCCTCTCTCAAATGGATAATTCTGGTGATCCTCCGGACAGCCATGCTTTAGATTTTGAGTTATGTTCTTACAAAGCTAAAATCAAAGATTCCATCTAGTGCTATTTTATGGCTCAGCTGTATTTTTTGTTATTTTAAGGGATTTTCCTATCCACATTTGTTTACAGGGCACGTATCCCCATTTTACTTCCTTTTGCAGTTCTCTAGCCCTTTCCAGGATTTTTTTAAGAGCCATTTTTGTGCCCAAAAGTTCGGGTTCCCATTGACTTCAATGGGGTTCGGGTTCAAGTTCGAGCCCGAACCCGGACTTTTTTTCCAAAGTTCGACTGAACTCGCTGGTCCCGAACATCCAGGTGTCCGCTCAACTCTGCTAAGGAGTTTTGGTGGCCATCTCTACGCAAGGATACTAAAGATGTGTTAGCTTGTTGTGTATGTGATACTAAACTTTCCCGTACCCTTCCTACAACCTCTTGATATACCCAACAAACCTTGGGTCAGTATTAGCATTGATTTCATTGTTGATTTGCCCATATCTGAGAATAAGACAGTTATATTGACTGTGGTTGATAGGTTTACCAAGATGGCACACTTTATTTCTTTACCTAAATTACCCTCTTCACCTGAATTGGCTACTGTGTTTGCTAAAGAAATATTTCGCATTCATGGTGTACCTAAAGAGATAAGCTGACAGGGGCTCACCGTTCAGATCATGTTTCTGCCGCTCACAGTTCATATCACAGCCTTTTGTTCTCAAATGGGTATCACGCTTAATTTCTCATTGACTTATCATCCACAATCCAATGGGGAAGCAGAAAGAACCAGAGGATTGAACAGTACTTGAGGGGTTTTGTTTCTGCTCATCAGGATGATTGGGTTGGTCTACTTCCATGGGCTGAGTTTGTTTTTAACAACGTGGTTTCTAATGTTACTCAACAAAGTCCTTTCTTCATGAACTACGGTTTCCATCCGAGGTTCCTTCACATGGACTTCCGATGGTTGACGAACACACTGAAAACCTAAAAAAGATATGGGAAGAGGCTCAACATCTTCTGATTCGTAAATCATCTGTTGATAAAAAATTTGCTGATGCTCATAAGCTTGCTGCTCCTGTCTTCTATCCGGGTGATAAAGTCTGGCTCAGTAGAAAGCATATTCGTCTTAAAGTCCCATCCATGAAGTTTGCACCTAGGTTTATTGGTCCTTACGCTGTGCTTTGGCGTATTAATCCAGTGGCTTATCGTCTTGCCTTGCCTCCTGCTCTTCGCATCCCTAATGTTTTCCATGTGTCACTACTGAAACCTTTGACATGTAATAGGTTCTCCAGACTAGTTGTTCCTCTTCCTTCTATCCAGGTGGAGGGTCAGGAGGAGTTTGTGGTCCGTTCTATACTGGATTCCAGGTTTTCTATGGGTAAACTTCAGTATCTTGTGGATTGGAAGGGTTACAGTCCCGAAGATAGGTCTTGGGTTGACGCTTCGCATGTTCATGCCCCTCACCTCGTTCACTCCTTTCATTCCAAGATTCCCTCACACCCAGGTTCCTTCCGCCCTGTGGACAGTCCTTGAGAGGGGGTACTGTCAAGGTACCTTTTGTGTGGGCACAGGATGTGCCACACACTGAAGTCCTCTTGCAAGGCTTGACTTTGCTTGTGTACCTTCGTTCTTTCTGATTTATGGTTTCCCTGACTTCGGCTCGTCCTGTTTATTCTCTATCTTCGTAACATCAACCCGGCCATTCTAAGGTCCGGTACGTTACAGCTTTTGTTACATTCTGTGTTTAGGATCTCCACTATCCTGACAAAGACACATTGATCGACACTTCAAGCGCACCTTGCGGCCCCAGGTTCCTCCCGGGACTATGCCTGTCTGAGGTGCTGCACTTCCCTCCCACCCCCCTGCAAAGCGTGGGTAAAGGGCAGGAGTAACTGACTCTCAATGTAGCCAAATGTCTCATCATCTAGTTAGTGACACACATGAATGGATGACCCACTGTCCCTACCTACTATCTAGCAAAAACACAGCCAGGGAATGGGCTTGGTGGAATGGGCAAAAGAACCTATTGAGCTTGACTCTAGTCTGCAATTGTGAAGAGACATGAGAGGTGTAGGATAAGTGGTAAGCCCATGTTGCGTCGCGAGCTAAGGGGTGCCGCCGGTGAAATACCACTACTTATAGTTTTTTCACTAACCCGGTGAGGCAGGGTGGGAGAGCCACAAGAGGCTCTCGCTTCTGGCTCCAAGCACCCGGCGTGTGCAGGGGTCTCTGGCTGGTTCTTCCGTGGCCAGCCATGGCTCCAGACTGACAGGCAGTTTTCCCCCTTGCCCGACTCGAAATTTGGGAGGCCTGCCACGGGTCCTTCCCAATGGCCAAAAGACGGGAAAGGGATCCCACTGCTTGCCCCCAGCCTCCCAGGGCAGGGCGGGCAGGAGAAGGGAGCCTGTCCCAGGTCCCCCACATCCCCGTTGCACCCCCCGTTAGCCAAAAACTGTCCCCCCACCCTCCTCTCTCTGATCGATCTGGCTCCCCACACCAGAAAGGCTTTCAATCAGGCGGCCCCCTTCGACAGGCAAAAGGCACCCTCTCCCCACTGCCTCTGGCGCAGTCCCCAGGCTCCACCAGGGAGGGCGCTCCCAGTCCACGGGTGAAGCGCTTCCTCCCCACCCAGTGACCTCCACCTGAGTCTGCAACCAGGCCCAGTCAAGCCGCGGCGGAGGTCGGCGCTGCAGAGGTTCACCACGGCGGCTCCCCTGGGCAGCGCGGAGTGTAACGTTTTCTGCCCGGCCCCGCTGTCATCTCCGGATCCCCACGACAGTCCGTGGCTTCCCCCCAGCTCCCTCCTGCCTTTTCTTCTCTAGGGCTACCTGGTTGATCCTGCCAGTAGAATATGTTTGTAAGTATGCATGGCCGCTACAGTGAAACTGCAAATGGCTCATTAAAATCAGTTATGGTTCCTTTGATCGCTCCAACTGTTACTTGGATAACTATGGTAATTCTAGAGTGAATATATGCCGATGAGCACTGACGCCTAGGGATGCGTGCAATTATCAGACCAAAACCCATCCGGATCGGGGGGGCTCTATCTACTATCTACGCCTACCATGGTGACCATGGGTAATGGGGAATCAGGGTTCTATTCCGGAGAGGGACGTTGAGAAATGGCTGCCACATCCAAGGAAGGGAGCAGGCGCGCAAATTACCCACTCCCGACGCGGGGAGGTAGTGACGTAAAATAAAAATACAGGACTCTTTCGAGGCCCTGTAATTGAAATAAATACACTTTAAATCCTTTAACAAGGATCTATTGGAGGGCAAGCACTTCAGACTAGGTTTTTGCCTTCTTTTGGATCAACAGCAAAAACATGTGAGGAAGGCTGAACTTGATGGACGCAAGTCTCTTTTCAGCTATGTAACGATGTAAGTCTGGTGCCAGCAGCCACGGTAATTCCAGCTCCAACCTCTGGGGGCTGGAAAGTGGAAGGCTGCTGGAGGTTGCTCTGCAACAGCTCCTGCTGTGGAGGTTTTTGTGGGAGGTTGTAAGTTTTTTTTCCCCTGTTTCCCTGCACTGTTTTTGGCTTGGAAACTCACTGGACTTGGGGGCTCTGCCTGGGCCTAAGGAAGCATGGCCCTCAGGCCTTCCTCCCCAGCCTGGGGATGGAAGGTCAAGCTGGACAGACTGCAGGCAAGTCTGGCCTTTGGGGATGGCAAGGTGGATACCAGGAGCCTGTCCTGGACTGAATACCAGGCCCTCTCCCGGCAAGTAAGACAGCATGTTGCACAGTTGGAAGAACTGGCGGGGGGGATGGCAAGCAAGCTTGCTGCCTGGAAGAAGGGAGTGGGGGTCCCCCAGGGAGCCACGGCCCATACCAGGGCCGATATCCAGCTGCTCTCTGGGTTGCTGGCTGAGTGTAAGGAACTTGCCAGCGACGGCCTCCACTTCCTGGAGCGCCCCCCCCCCCCACATCACTGGAAGCGGGAGAGGGTCCCGGGGAGGAGGTAGTCCCTGAGACCCCCCCTGAGACTGCTAGTACCAGCGAGGCCCCTCAGGCCTCCCTCACCTATGCTGCGGCTGCAAAGGGTGAGGGGGTTGAGGCTAGGGCACTCAGAGGGCTGCCTGACAGGCTCCGGGGTCTGCTTGTGTCCCTGAAGGCCCAGCACGCCGAGGCGGATTCGGGCCTTGCTGGGGTCCAGGCAGAGCTCAGAGAGCAGAGGGAGAAGTCTAGCAGGACCTCTAACCACAAGAGGGGTCCTGTGAGGGCTATCATTGCACAGAAAAAGCTAGAGGAGCAGCAGCGGCTGTCTTACATCTTGCTCCTTGGGGATGGGATATGGACAGGCGGGTGGACTGTTTGTGTTGCTGCGGGAAATTCGAGGTGTCACACAGCATATGCCTAACAGCTTTTTCATCGGGGCTGACCGGGTATCCTGTTTTTACCCTGGTCAGCCCAGGGTGTGCCATAAGTGCGGATCGTACAGGCATTTCAGTAATGCCTGTACGGTCCTCAAATGCACTATGTGCGGCGCTGTGGGGCACCTCCGGGACAACTGCGGGGAGATCCGGTGCCATCTGTGCTCAGAGATGGGTCACACGTACCGCACCTGCCCCGAAGCCCAGCATAGAGTCCATCTGGAGTCAGGAGCCGGTGGAGATGGACTCTGCTGGGTTAGGGGTTCAGGTAGCGAAGCCATCTACGGTGCCCATTTCTGGCACGGGGGTCTTCCTGCCCCAGCAACAACCCATCCTCCCCTCGGTCTCAGTGCCATCTCGGGACCCTGGGGTGGAAACTAGTTCATGTCCCCCCACGAAAAGTGTAGATAGAGTTTGCACATCCCCCACAGCCTTAATGGCTCCCCCTAGGCCCCCCCCTCCCAAACCCTCCACGGTGAAGGTTACCCCCACTGCAAAGTCCTCAGAGGCACAGCCCTTAGATGCACAGTCCCTAGAGTGGAGCACGGTGAGAAAGGGAAAGCATCCCCCTCCCTCCAAGAGCTCGGCGCTGCCCGCGCCCCGGACGACCGCCAATCCCCCTGCGGCGAAACCCCCGAAAGGGGGGGATGCCACTTCTAAAGGGGGTGGGGCAAAGGGGTCTTACTCTTCGTGCTTGCAGGGGGCCCCAGTGCCCGTATCTAATAGGTACGAGGCACTGTCTGCCAGCTGGGCCGACTGTGAGCTCGAGGAGGAGATGGCGAACCTCCCCGGGGTGGGGGCAGAGGTTGAGGTCGGACAGGAGGTACCTCAGAGACGACGGGCCACTATATCCCGGCGTCTCAGTGAAGAGGTACTGCTCCGATGAAGAGGTCTCAGCCGCCTTGGGCATCCCCTGCTTATCCCGCTGGACCTACGCGGAGTGGGCATACGGGACGTCCAACTCACGGGGGAGGGCTTTTAATCTGAGCACTCTTTTCGTAGTTAGCTCAGTCGTTAAGTATCACACTTGGATGGCACGGTGTCAGGTATCCCTTCAGCGTCAAGACCTTTCCTGTCAGGAGGTGGTAGCAGACATTCTCAGGGCGGTACGCGGGATCTATAACACCGAAAGGGCCTCTATGGATCCCTCCAATTGGCAGCGTCTGTGGCGAAATCTCAAGGTCCACCCGCCTTGAACCGTTCCATGGGCGTCCTTGTCTTGGTGAAGGGTATTCAATCTCTATCTTCACCTTTTCCCCTTAGATTTTTGAAATGGTTTTTCCTTTCATGGAAGGCTGCCACATTTAGCAGACGAGTACCTTCCTCTGTTTAAAAGGTTTTTAGTGTAGTGTATTTAGGGTAAGTTAAGGTTTCAATATTATTTTTGGTAATGGTTATTGTGTTCTTTTTGTGTTATTTATGCACGGGTGGGTTTGTTTGGTGTTGCTTGGGTTGGGGTGGGGTTCTTGTATTATTTTGAGGACAAAAATGAAACACTATGAACAATTTACTTTGGGTGGGGGGTAGGACACTGGGTGGTTTGATGGACGGAGGGATGGACTCCATGTGGGTGGTGGTGGGTCTTATTCAAAAGGAGTGTATAATGGACAGAGAAATGGACTCCATGTGGGTGGTGGGTTTATTTGGGTGTAACGGACGGAGGGATGGACTCTTTGAGGGTGGTGGGTTTATTGGCTGTAAAATGGATGGAGGGATGGACTCTTTGAGGGTGGTGGGTTTTTATGGGTGTTTTAATGAGACATGGACTCCAAAAACTTGTGGGTGGTGGGTTTTTCATGGACATTTTGGTTTGCTTTTATGGTTTGATTTGTGGTTATGGTAATGTTTAGGTTTCTGTTTATGTTTGTTATTTTTCCTGGCTGTGGACTGTGGGTCAGTTAGGTCCCACCCCCTTCCCCCCTCCCCCTGGTTATTTTGGGTATTTACTTTATGGTAATTGCTGAGCTCCTTAATGGAGCATCCCGAAGTCCCTTAAGTTTCCTCCCCAGTTGGCTCCATGACGCTAATGGAGCCCTCCGCCCTTTTATCTCCTTTCCCCTCCCCTTTTAATTTGTCCATGAAGCTAATGGACCTCCCTTTTCTGTTACTTCCCAATTATTTCATGGCAACAATGAAGTCCCACCCCTCCTTATTTACCCCTCATTAGTTACCCCCTCCTTATTTACCCCTCTTTTGTTGCCCCTCCCTTTTCAGTTAACCCCCCGGGATGCTCCATGATGGAATGGGGCTCACTCCCTTATAGGTGCCCCTTCAAGGTATGGTTCAGTTTCAGTTGAGTATTGTTTATGTTATTGTTTATGTTTGTTTTATTTATCTTGGGCTGGATTTGTTTATTTTTGTTTGTTTAGTTACGACTTGTTATTTTGTCATTTATGTTGCTTTTTCTCAATAAAATACAAATGCTCCAACCTCTGGGGGATGGAAAGTGGAAGACTGCTGGAGGTTGCACTGCAACAGCTCCTGCTGTGGAGGTTTTTGTGGGAGGTTGTAAGTTTTTTTCCCCCTGGTTCCCTGCACATTTTTTGGCTTGGAAACTCACTGGACTTGGGGGCTCTGCCTGGGCCTAAGGAAGCATGGCCCTCGGGCCTTCCTCCCCAGCCTGGGGATGAAAGGTCAAGCTGGACAAATTACAGGCAAGTCTGGCCTTTGGGGATGGCAAGGTGGATACCAGGAGCCTGTCCTGGACTGAAAACCAGGCCCTCTCCCGGCGAGTAAGACAGCAAGTTGCACAGTTGGAAGAACTGGCGGGGGGATGGCAAGCAAGCTTGCTGCTTGGAAGAAGGGAGTGGGGGTTCCCCAGGGAGCCATGGCCCATACCAGGGCCGATATCCAGCTGCTCTCTGGGTTGCTGGCTGAGTGTAAGGAACTTGCCAGCGATGGCCTCCACTTCCTGGAGCGGCCCCCCCCCCCATCACTGGAAGCGGGAGAGGGTCCCGGGGAGGAGGTAGTCCCTGAGACCCCCCCTGAGACTGCTAGTACCAGCGAGGCCCCTCAGGCCTCCCTCACCTATGCTGCGGCTGCAAAGGGTGAGGGGGTTGAGGCTAGGGCACTCAGAGGGCTGCCTGACAGGCTCCGGGGTCTGCTTGTGTCCCTGAAGGCCCAGCACGCCGAGGCGGATTCGGGCCTTGCTGGGGTCCAGGCAGAGCTCAGAGAGCAGAGGGAGAAGTCTAGCAGGACCTCTAACCACAAGAGGGGTCCTGTGAGGGCTATCATTGCACAGAAAAAGCTAGAGGAGGAGCAGCGGCTGTCTTACATCTTGCTCCAGACCGAATACAAGATGGCAGACATCCAGTCCATCCTGCAACAGCGAGCCAAGGAAGCAACGCAATGCAGGAGGCAGAGGGCCCTTGGGGGTAGGAGGGACATGTCCCCAGGTGACGAGTCCAGCAAGGACTCGGATTCCAACTCCCATCACTCACCTGGGGTGCCATGTACCTCTGCCCTTGCTACACCAGGGGGCGCAGCTGAGACAGAGAGGAAGGCCAGAGAGAAGGACAGTGAAGCGGAGTGGGAAGAAGAGAAAGGTGAAGAATGGAAGCTGAGAGTGCAGGACAGGGGTCAAGGGCTGATTAGGGAGTCTCTCCTCAAGTTTGGAAACGAACTTGGAGGGCTCCGTTAAAGAAAAGAAGAAAACGAAAAAGAAAAAGAAGAACATAGCCCGGCGCCAGCCTGAGACCCCTGTCAGGGGGTCTGGAGATTCCAAGGAGGAGGGTGAGTGCTCCCCTGACGAGTATACATACAATGAGGAGGCCTTCCCGGCCTTACAGACACCTGGGGCCAGGGATACTAACCCCACAGGTGGCAACACCTGTGTGCCCCAGGAGTCTGCCCGCCCTGCCTCTGTGGAAGTACCTGGACCCCCCACAGCCCTCCATGGTGACAGGGAGACCATCCCCGCCGGTACTATGGCGAGTACCGGTGATCCCATGGAGGGGCCCTTCCCTTCCTCCCTTCCCTGCCTTCCCTCTGACCTTCCTCTTCATGTGGTTGCGCCCTCTGGGGTAGCTGGATCCTCTGCCTCCTGGTGAGGAATGAGTCCATCCCCATAGCGGACATCCTTGTATGGACCAAGAGGTTTGGGGATGTTTGGGGAGATCCGGTGCCATCTGTGCTCAGAGATGGGGCACACGTACCGCACCTGCCCCGAAGCCCAGCATAGAGTCCATCTGGAGTCAGGAACCAGTGGAGATGGACTCTGCTGGGTTAGGGGTTCAGGTAGCGAATCCATCTACGGTGCCCATTTCTGGCACAGGGGTCTCCCTGCCCCAGCAACAACCCATCCTCCCCTCGGTCTCAGTACCATCTCGAGACCCTGGGGTGGCAACTAGTTCACGTCCCCCCACGAAAAGTGTAGATAGAGTTTGACGTCCCCCACACCCATTATGGCTCCCCCTAGGCCCCCTAGCCCCCTAGCCCCCTCCTAAACCCTCCACGGTGAAGGTTACCCCCACTGCAAAGTCCTCAGAGGCACAGCCCTTAGATGCACAGTCCCTAGAGTGGAGCACGGTGAGAAAGGGAAAGCATCCCCCTCCCTCCAAGACCTCGGCGCTGCCCGCGCCCCGGACGACCGCCGAACCCCCTGCGGCGAAACCCCCGAAAGGGGGGGGACGCCACTTCAAAGGGTGGTAAGGCAAAGTGGTCTTCCTCCTCTTCGTGTTTGCAGGAGGCCCCAGTGCCCGTATCTAACAGGTACGAGGCACTGTCTGCCAGCTGGGCCGACTGAGTTCGAGGAGGAGATAGCAAACCTCCCCGGGGTGGGGGCAGAGGTTGAGGTCGGACAGGAGGTACCTCTGAGAGACGACGGGCCACTATATCCTGGAGTCTCAATGAAGAGGTACTGCTCCGACACGGAGGAGGAGGGGGATAACAGAAAGAAGGGAAAGTCTCCTTGTGCTTAATACCCTTATGGCGACATTTCCTATACTCTGTGTGGCTACGGTGAATGTTAATAGCATTATGTCCAGCAGGGCCCGCTTTCTGGTTTTTGACCACCTCAGCCGGGCTCCGTACAATGCCATCTTGGTACAGGAGACCCGGCTGGAAACCCTTGCGGCCCTGCACGCTGCAAAGCGGGACTGGAGATGGGGGCCTTCCTACTTCTCTCTAGCCACAGAGAGATATGGGGGAATCACCATCCTATTTAAGGAAGTTGATGTTCGCATCAACAGGGTTATTGAGTTGCAGAAAGGACTTTGTGTGGTTTTAGATGTGTCACTGGGCAGGCAACCTCTCAGGATGATTAACATCTATGGCCCCCAAACCAAGTGGGAGAGGAAGCGCCTGTTTAGTGAGATAGAGCCTTTCCTATATAAGTCTAAGCAAATTCTGTTTGGCGGTGATTTCAACACCATTATTAGGCCTCAAGACAGGAGAGGCGCCACTCAGAGGCTGGGGTATGACTCAATTTTTTTAAACAAGATGGTTAGTCAGGCTGGATTGGTCGATGTGTACCTTCACCACACTCCCAATCCCACGGGTGGGTACACGTATCACCAAGGTAGCTGTCAGAGTAGGATAGATAGGTTTTTCTTTATGGAGAATTTCCCGGTGACAGCACCCGTGCTTACGCCGGTGGAGTTCTCCGACCATCACATTTTATCTTGCCAGTTGAACGTCCATAGTACCCCACCTAAAGGTAGAGGGATCTGGCGGCTAAATTCAGACCTCCTGGTGGAACAGAGGGTTCAGCAAGCCTTCATGGAATTCTTTCACGATCAGATGACACTGGCCGATTTAGCCCAAACGAAGTCTGAGTGGTGGGAGATGGTGAAGGCCAGAACTCGAGGGCTGTTTCGCAATCTCGCCCGAAACATGCAGTCCTCTAGGTATAAGATGTATCTGAGCTTGCTTGGGAGGCTGGATGTCTTGATCTCACAGGGAGGTGACCCTGAGGACATTGCGGCGGTGAAGTCCCTGATGAGGAGTTATCAATATGACGTCCCTTGTAAAGGAGAGGGATCATGGGTCTTACCACTCGGCCGATCCTTATCTGAGTTGCAAGCGGAAGGAAGGTACCAAAACTATCTCTGGTCTGCGGGGCACCAACGGGATCCTCGAGGAGTCTCCTCACGGGATTCTGAAGGTGGTCCGCGACTACTATATTGAGCTCCTCGGTAAGGGAAGCCCCCTATGCAGATGACATCTCCATTGTGGTCTCCGATACACAGGAGGCCACGGAGGTGGATGATTTAATCTTGGCGTATTCTGCCGCTTCAGCCTCTCGTGTCAACAGGGACAAGAGCGGAGTTTTCTGGTGCGGGAAGGAGGGGGACCAGTTCCCTCTTCCAGACGGTTTCCCGCGGGCCCAGTCTGAAATTAAGATCTTGGGGGTGATGTTCGGACCAGGGGATCTGGCTCTCAGGAACTGGTCCAAACAGCTTGCCATAGCTTCCAGCAAGGTGGAGGAGAGCCACAGGTGGAAACTGACGTACAATGAACGGGTGAAACTGATCAAAACCTGTTCTGACTGTATTCGGCTACGTCAGTAACATCTTCCTTTTGCCCAGGTCCCTTAACGCTCGGATGTTTGCGCTGTTCTTCCGCATGTTGTGGGGGAACAGACTGAACCTCATCAAGAGAGGGGTTGATAACTTCTTAAGCGAGCTCACCCTCCCTGAGCATAGCGACCTCTCTTTTGACGAGTTGGTTAGCGAGATCACCATAGAAGAGGTCACAGAGAGTATCCAGCAGCAGAACAAGTGTAAGTCACCAGGTCCTGATGGTCTGACGGCTGAGTTTTACCAACAGTTCTGCGATCTCTTGGCCCCTCATTTAACCGAGATGTTTAATGAGAGCTTGACTCGAGGATTATTGCCACCCTCGATGAGGACTTCTGCTTTACCTGGCCAGAAAGGACGGGGGTCTGGCCATGGTCAACCCCATCATCTTCTTTAATAACACCTTCCTGAAAAGGAACTTCGGGGCTCTCCTGAAGGACGAGCAGCCTGGCTGGGTATGTATGTTCAGGGAGTGGGTCGCACCTTTCCTGGTGGACTGGTTTAACGGCGGGAAGGTGAAGAGCATGAGAGTTCGGCATTCCAGCTATCTCCCGACTTCGGTCATCGAGGGAGTGCGGATTCTCCGCAGGTGGAACGTCACTGTGGAGGAGGTTCGGGACTCTCCCAAGAGGCTTCTCGACGGGAGAGTCCTGGCCACCCACTTTGGCGTTCAGCTTGCTTTGAAGGACTGCCCGCCAAGTACTCTCGCCTCGGGGTTTAAAAACCATCAACTCCAGGCGCCTTCCGGAGAAATTCCGAGACTTGGCGTTTCTCTCCTTCCACGGTAGACTTCACGTTGGAGGGAACTTGAAGTACAGGAACATAACGGATCGCGGTTGTCCTCGGGTGGAATGTTCCGGGGAAGTGGAGTCCATGGACCACTTCCTCCTCGAGTGCCCCTTTAACGTAGAGGTCTACAAAGAGGTCTCAGCCGCCTTGGGCATCCCCTGCTTATCCCGCTGGACTTACGCGGAGTGGGCATACGGGACGTCCAACTCACGGGGGAGGGCTTTTAATCTGAGCACTCTTTTCGTAGTTAGCTCAGTCGTTAAGTATCACACTTGGATGGCACGGTGTCAGGTATCCCTTCAGCGTCAAGACCTTTCCTGTCAGGAGGTGGTAGCAGACATTCTCAGGGCGGTACGCGGGATCTATAACACCGAAAGGGCCTCTATGGATCCCTCCAATTGGCAGCGTCTGTGGCGAAATCTCAAGGTCCACCCGCCTTGAACCGTTCCATGGGCGTCCTTGTCTTGGTGAAGGGTATTCAATCTCTGTCTTCACCTTTTCCCCTTAGATTTTTGAAATGGTTTTTCCTTTCATGGAAGGCTGCCACATTTAGCAGACGAGTACCTTCCTCTGTTTAAAAGGTTGTAGTATAGTTAGGGTAAGGTTAAGGTTAAAATATGATTTTTGGTAATGGTTATTATGTTCTTTTGTTCTTATGTTCTTATGTTATTATGCACGGGTGGGTTTATTTGGGATTGCTTGGGTTAGGGTGGGGGGTTCTTGTATTATTCAAAGGACAAAAATGTAGACACTATGAACAATTTACTTTGGGTGGGGGGCAGGACACTGGGTGGTTTGATGGACTCCATGTGGGTGGTGGGTCTTATTTGGGTGGTGGGTCTTATTTGGGTGTAAAATGGACGGAGGGATGGACTCTGAGGGTGGTGGGTTTATTGGGTGTATAATGGACGGAGAGATGGACTCCATGTGGGTGGTGGGTTTTCATGGATGTTTTGGTTTGTGGTTATGGTGATGCTTATGTTTATGTTATTTGTTTTCTGGCTGGCTGTGGACTGTAGGACAGTTGGGTCCCCCCCACCCCCTTTTTTTCCCCCCCTGGTCATTTCTGGGTATTTTACTGTATGGTAATTCACGGAGCTCCTTAATGGAGCATCCCGAGTCCTTTAAGTTTCCTCCCCAGTTAGCTCCATGAAGCTAATGGAGCCCTCCACCCTTTTATCTCCTTTCCCTCCCCCCTTCTAATTTGTCCATGAAGCTAATGGACCCCCATCTCCCTTTTCTGTTACTCCCCAGTTTTTTTCATGGCAATAAAGTCCCACCCCTCCTTATTTACCCCTCCTTGGTTGCCCCTCCCTTCTCAGTTAACCCCCCGGGATGCTCCATGATGGAATGGGGCTCACTCCCCTACAGGTGCCCCTTCAGGATATGGTTCTGTTTCAGTTGCGTATTGTTTATGTTATTGTTTATGTTTT